ATAGATTGAGTTGACTTGTTTGAAGAGTTGCTTGGAAGGGATTAAGGACTCAACAGGTTTAAGGTATGTTAAGGCACTTTATTATTTCTTTTATCATGATCTAATGTGAAATAAATACGCTACTTCATAACGGATCTACTCCTAGCAACTAAGGTTGTCCATATTGTTCTTTCCTTATAAAATTATTCTAAGCAAGTGTGTTTGATCCTTGAATCCTACTAAGGTTCATATTGAGGTTATGGATGTCCATAATGTTCTTAAGTTACTCCAAAAGGTTTAGAAGGTGATTCCATGAGTCTAGCATGCATTATATATAGTATCTATTTTACTCTACCGAGCCGCGCTATAGTCGGCCGGGTACGGCACCTATTGTGAAACCACTGATCAGTTGGGTTTACCGAGCTCCACCTGGCCGGGTACGATTCTACCGAGCCTTATGATGGTCAGGTACACTTTTACCGAGTCCTCTTTGAGGTCGGGTATGATATGATGATGATAATGTCCATAGAGGCGAATGTTTATAAAAAGTTTATGTATTATGCATTTCATATCAGTAGCCCCCAGAGGCACTCAGACATCTCCTATATCTCTCTCTTTATATTATTGTTCTTGTTTATGATTTCCCGCCTTACATACTCGGTACTTTATTCGTATTGACGTCCCTTTTGCCTAGGGATGCTGCGTTTCATGCCCGCAGGTCCCGATTGATAGGTTGATAGTCCTCCTTGTAGGCTATCAGCTCAGCGAAGGTGTTGGTGCACTCCACTTGCTCCGGAGTTGCCTATTTGGTCAGTATGCTTTGGATATGTATTGATTGGTATGGTGGGGCCCTATCCCGACCTTTATGATTTTATGTACTCTTAGAGGTTTGTAGACAGATGTCAGGTGTATGGATACTTATATGGCCTTGTCGGACTATGTTTTGAGTTTACAAATGGTCATGTCGGCCTTATAGGCCCGTATGTCACATATATAAGTTTGTATATCATTTTGGGTCTTCATATGTTGAGTATTCCCTTATATTTTATTCTTTTTATCTCATGATGGGTTTTCTGGCTCATTTACTCATGATAGTATGATAAGAAAGATATGTTATGTTGGTACTTGGTTGAGTAAGGCACCGGGTGGCCGTCGCGGCCCTTCGGTTTGGGTCGTGATTGAAGTGATATCAGAGCAGTTCTGTCCTAGGGAGTCTACAAGCCGTGTCTAGTAGAGTCTTGTTTATGGGTGTGTTGTGCACCACACTTATAAGCAGGAGGCTACAGGGCATTTAGGTCTGCCACTCTTTCTTCTTACTCTAGATCGTGTAGTAGATCGGAGTTGCCTATTTGGTCAGTATGCTTTGGATATGTATTGATTGGTATGGCGGAGCCCTATCCCGACCTTTATGATTTTATGTACTCTTAGAGGCTTGTAGAGAGATGTCAGGTGTATGGATACTTGTATGGCCTTTTCGGCCTATGTTTTGAGTTTATAAATGTTTTGAGTTTACCCAAACCTTGTTCAAGTCCTTCCGATCAATCGGCGAAAAGTTTTCAAAATCGGAGAACGCAGTTGTTTGGATCCGAAGCAACCAAAATAAGAGAAATAAAATGAGAGAGTCTTATTGGTAAAAACTCACACAATATATAGATATAGGAGCCTTACAAGACTTAGACAGCTTCGAGAAGACTCCCTGCCTTAGGAGCAATTTCAAATGAGACAGGAATGAAAGCAAGGCCGAGAGGGGGAGAGAATGGAATACTAGGGGAGAATCCTAGGACTTCAAGAAAGTCAGGCGAATGGTGCCTATACCTGAAAGCACATAAGCTCGCATTCCAAGACTTTGAATGCAAACTAAATCGAAAGCTAATGGAAGGCTGGAGGACCTGGCCCACTAAACTAAAGGATAGGCGTATGGAGGAGTAGAGTTAGTTAAAGCTGCACGGGACCTATTGCCTCCACATCTCCTTAAGGTAGAGTAGAGCTTATTCATGAGGATGATTCGTAGTTCTCATAAGAAAAGAGATTACTTATGCAATTACCCTTTAAGACTCAATTACATCGAGCAATGTAATCGAACCAGGAAATTACATCGCACCTTTTCTAGGGGTAAAGACGATGCTCTCATTTGGGGATGTGCTGGGGGTAATAATTATTCTATATTGCTGGGGTAAATAGCCCTTTTCCCAACCCGAACTTGGTTTATCTGATGCTTGGCTGAAGCTTACTTGCAAGCACAGCATCTGTCTCTTAGTCCTCTTTGGACAACCTTTAATCAGAGAAAGAAAACGTATATTCTATCAACCTTAGAGAGAATCTCTATTCTACACGGAAAAAGCGTATTCAACACAGACAGGCTCAGGGAAAACATCCTATACTTGGGATAAGTGAGCACAAGAGTTTGTAATGAATGCTTTTATTAGTACTTGAAATAAGCTTTATTCCTCCTGGCCAATTCACCACTTCTCACTTACTTACTACTTACTCAAACAATACCGGCTTGAACAAGGAAAGCGGTCCCTTACCTTCTCTATTTCCTTCCCGTAATCGAACCCGGTAATAAGATTTGAACATGGATTCATTCCCATCGACTGGATCTTTCACAGAGACCAAGAACAAGGACCGAGAGTAATAGGGAATTCGGGATAAAAAGTATATATACTTTTCGTTACACGCGTACAAAGAACTCGTTGAAACCTCGCTACTGGATTGAGGAAGAGGCAAGAAAGTTGAGCTATACCTCCTTCCTTCCCTGTGGTTGACTGCTTTTTCTTCCTTTTTCCATACTTCAGGAGGAAGAGATCGCCGGGTTCAACTTCCACTGGTGATGGCGATTCCTTCTTGAAAAACAGTATATTCAGTTGAATCTTCATATTCTAATAATAAGATCGAATCAATTCCTATTCGAAAAGAGGATTTCATCATACCTGGCTTTCCTAACCTTACAACTGGCACTGAGACTTTACTTTATCAAGCTGGAAATAGGGAACTCCTTTTTGGAACTGCCTTTGATCTTTCCCTTGCCGTGTAGGTAAAGCTAGAAGAGCCTCATTGGCCCGACAGCTGACAAGCAAACCTTCCATTCTTATGTTTACATCACTTCTCTCTTTCTCGCATTGACCGGACAAAGGTTTCAAATGAGCATCCCATGGGGCAGCCATAGCTTGAACCTTCCTTCTCGCAGTCAGCTATATAACTCAGGCAGCAAAGGTTCGAGCAGGATGGCGGTTAGTCTTCCTCGTCTCTTTCGGGTGGGCGGCGGGAATAGCTCTTCTAGCATCAGCATGGATTGACCAGAGACTGGGAGTAGTCGTCATCTTTTTCCATAGTAGTCATCCAGCAAGAAAGGGAAAGACCACTTAGCGCAGTGGAATAGGAAAGAGAGCGTCGAGCACAGCTTTCGTGTCACCAGAAATCCTTTTTCGTTTATTGGGAGACTGAATGAAAAAGGCTTTGTCAAGCAGGCATGATTGTCACGTCGATCGACAGTTGAGAAATACTATCTCCGGGGCCCTCACTTTAGGGCTATCTTTCACCGTTGACAGACATGGTTCAACGTGCCAGCTACGCTTCCTCTTCTAGAACAGTGACAGCCTAGTCTGATTCCCCCTTCCGAAAGTGCCACAGCTCCTTCTATCACAACCCCTGAAAACTGGGCATTCGAAGCATCAATCTCATTCTATGCTCTATGCCATCTTCCTTATACTTTGACTATTAATTCATGTGCACAAACCTCCCTCACAAAGGAAAGCGGGAAAGTCATCTTTGCAAACAAAGGCCTTCTTCTTATACTATGGCATCTTGTCCAAAGCGAGCGGTCATGTAAACCCTTTGTCTATTCGGCTCTTTCCTTTAATAAGAACAATCTAAATGTGACACTTTCACGACGAAATACCGGGAATTTTTGATACTAGAGTCCCCCAGGAAATTAAGCCAATGATCGACTGTCCCTGCCCATTCTAACGGGGCATTCTATTCCTTCAAGTCCCACAGCTCTAAATGTGCCTATTCCTTCGACACCTTTCCATGGAAACAGGGGAAAAATGGCTTATTCCGCATCAACCTAAGCCCGCTTATTCCGACTAAGTGATCCATTGGCGAAAAGAGGGCCTTCCTCCTTCTTGCTTGAAGCTCTGTCAAAGAAGCATTCTATTCCGAAAAGGCTTAGGGCTAGGCTAAACCTCCCTCAAAGCCATGAAGTCCCAGAGCTCTTATTCCAAGAACTGGTGATATTCCCTTAACTGCAGATTCAATAGCACCGGTTATGAACCCCAAAAACAACAGGAAAGAGAGCACCGTCTACTCAGACTGTCACACCGGCAACGAGAGCAGTAAGAGCAGATAGTGGAACAGAACTAGCAGCAGATAGGCATTCAGTTAGCTTGAAAACGGACTCGTAGTTAGAAATCAGATGCTTCCTCAACAACTATCTTTAGAATGTCCTATCTCTCTCTTCAACGCTTTAAAACGAGCTAGAAGGCTTCTCTTAAAGCAGAAAAATAGGAGTTATAGTAGTTTCAGCTATTCGATTCGAATGAGTGCCCTCACTTCCTTTCCTTACTACGATATGCCCAAAAAAAAGAAAAAGAAAGTGCAACATATCAAAGAGCGATGACACAAATTATCAGTGACCTCCTACATAACATATGCGAGCCTTACGTGGACGATTTGGTAGTCTTTTCAAAAGAAAGAACCGACCACATCGAAAATTTACGCAAGGTCTTCGAAAGGTTAAGAAAACATCAATTGAAGATGAACCCGAAAAAATGTGCATTCGGGATCGGGCGGAGGCCTTAAATCAGTAGGGCAATAGCATAGCTATTATTGACCTGACCCCTATTACATTACTTAAGCCTACTCTTTCTTCAAGATACGAAACGAGCAGCCGAAAACGGCTGTCCCTATTGTATTTTAGATGGAGTCATCTACAGGGCTAAGAATCTTACCTTTACTTAGAGAGGGGTAGCGGTACCATGCTCTTCCGTGCTCGTAGGTTGACTCACCTATGCATCCCGACTAAGGTCTCACAAACGTGCACTTCCCTTATGCATCCAACCGCTTCACTAATGTGAATAGGTTATACAGAAGGGTAGGTTGGTTATATACTCTTATGCGCCTTCCTTCTTCGAACCTTTTGGTATGTATTGCCCCCTAACTATAGATCAGATCCACCAGACAAGAAACTCAATTCCGCACTGCTGCTGAGTCGTCGGACTTATCCACCAAGGGATTCGTGGAATTTCTGTGGATTGCGTTGGGGGAAATCTACCAAAGCTAGGCAGATAGATAGACTCCTTTCCCGCTGCTAAGGGAGAGCAAGAAAGAAAAAAAAAATGATTGTTTTTTAACCAGCGCCCTCTTTTGGGTATGCAGGTACTAAGAGTCCTCTCACTACCAACCAGCAGACATCATCTGGCTGGGTCTTGCCGGTATCAACAACGAGGAAGAAACAACCAAATGGAAACAGCAACTAACTATGGCTCTTGGCCCAGACAACGTCCTAGGCGTAGGGGAGATCGGAGCAACAGGGAACGCCTAGACGACGTTTTTCTTCCTGGGCTGCAGTAAGTAGATCGAGAGGTCGTTCCGCCCCTTGTCCCCGAATATGGGGAATATGTTCTCATAAAATCTTGCTCCAATCTGACCTAGCTGGCGAGCGATCCCAGTTCGCGACAGAGAACAAGACAGCAAGCGAGCGTACTTTTGTTCGCTTCTTCTCCACCAAGCACGGAAGTTTAAGGATAACTGTAGGTCGGTGGCTACCTAAGGAAACTCCGATTCGATCCGCCCCCCGGCTGGGAGGCATCTACCTCATCCCGATCACAAGGAGAGGTTCACTATGATGGGGGTACTTTTTTTCCCTTAAGGAAAAAATGAAATGCATAGGGGACCATCCTTTTGTTGCGGCATGCTCCTCAGATTTACGGATTCGCAGGGGGCCTCAGGCCCTACTTAGTTTCGCAAGCCTTTGTCATTGTCAGTCAACTAAGTAGGGCCTTTTCCTTTTTGTTTGAATAACCCATTCTCATTATCTTTAATAAGTAAAGTAGGCAAACCTATAGGTCCTTAGTAGCGTTGACAAAGAAGAAGGAGCCGTTTAAAAGAAAGCGAATCTTTCCATTTTTCTTATAATTATATAATAATATAAAATAGAAAGAAATTTCTTATTATTATATATAGGCCAGCTTGACAAGCAACCCTTCCTCTTGATCTGAGGTGCGAAGAGAAAGATTTCTTTTTTATGACTTCCACTTATCGATCCCGGCCCAGAAAAGTGACCGATCAGGGCAGGGCCCTATTGATAAATGAAAGAAAGGGTTTATGAGCCCTAGCCCTGTAAGCCCACACCTGTGTAGAGTAGATCGTTCAACACCTGCGGCACAAACCCATTTTGAACCTATTGGTCCTAGTATCATAGGCGACCGAACGGCCGCCCCCTAATTACTAGACCAACCTGCTATAATAATTCCATAAACACCTAGCGAAGATATGGCAAACAAATAAAGTAGCCCTATGTTCGGATCTGACAATACCATACCATAATCAAAAGGTACAACGGCCCGAGCGACCAGACTTAACATAAATGTAGCCACTGGAGCCATTCTAAAAAGGGAGAAATTAGCACTACTTGGTGAAATAGGTTCTTTTAGAATCAATTTCAAACCATCTGCTAGAGGTTGTAACAATCCAAACGATCCCACTACATCAGGACCCTTTCGACGTTGCACAAAAGCCATTACTTTACGTTCAGCTAGCACTAAAAAGGCTACTCCTAGTAGAAGTGGTAGAATTATTCCAAGTATTTCAGCTGGAACAGCTATGTACATTTTTTTTTTTCTATTCACTCATGATCTGGCCTGGTCGACCCAATCATGATATTGAAGGAGGGGACCTTTTCTCGAAAAAAAAAATTCTTGCAACTACGAAAACCACAACACAAGCACCCCTTTTCCATTCATTCTATCTAAGAAAAAGAATTCAGCATAGACCACGACCCCCCAATTTTTGCCCTCTCACTAGTGGTTACTCCCGATCCGAAGCACCCCTTTTCCATTCATAGAGAGATCCAATCGTCAAAATCAATAAAAAGGCCATCATGGACCAAGATCCAAACGGATCAATCTTGTTGGGAGGTACTGCCCAAGGAAAGGAAAAGGTTACTTCCGGATCAGGAATAATAAATAAAATGGAAACAAGATAAAATCTTATATCAAAACGACTTCTGGCATCACCGGAAGGATCGAAACCACATTCGTAGGCCGACAATTTTTCTGGATAGGTCGAACTATTGGAAGAAAATAGAAAAGGAAGACCGAGTGGGAGCAAAGAAACTAGCGGACTGATCACTAAATAGATACAAATAGGTGCAAATTCTGACATCACCACAGAAAACTTGGTTCTTTCGCTCCTTGCTGGCGGAGCGGCATACCGGAAGAAATTGGAAGATCGACGACGGAACGAAGAACGCAATTTTAGGATAGCAACACAACAAAGAAGAATTTCTATGGGGCTTCCCTGTCGAGAATTAAAAGTTTTTCTCTTAGAGAGGCGTTTTCCTGGCTTAGAAAAGCGTTCCTTCTCTCAAGAGATTTCCATACCTCTCCTAACTCTAGGCGATGTTGCATTTCCAATTTCGCTTGGTGCTTTAAGTTTATAAAGCCACGAAAATGATGCGCTTGAGCCATTTTTACATCTTGATAAAAAGGGGAATCATGCTTCTCGACACATAGACTTTCTAAGACCTGGCATAGAGCAGGGTGATTGAATTCTAAGGGTTCAAGGTGCACCCTCAGTATGGAATCCAGGTCTTGTGGATCAATGAAGAATTGTGGATCCTCCCGACCATAAAAAAGGAGTTGATAGAGGGAGGAAATCTGCTCTCGAGTTGCAAAACACAATTCGGTATTGAGGAAGTCCCGCACCATGATTTCGTACTCCCTGGGTGAGAGGCCCTGGGTTTGTAGGCGCTCTCGTACGAATTCCACCCATTCTGGATCCTTATCCGGTTGATTCAGATAGTGGGATAGTAGCTCCAGTTCAGATGGGAGAATACCAAATATGGAATGAAGTAAAACCGCATTAAACAAGTTTGCGTAGATCCTATATCCAAGAGTTAGCAAGCAATAAAGACATATGAAATATTTCAGAATAGAAAGAGCCCGCTGTAACTTGGGCTTTGTTATATAGTAACAAAAGAGTTTCACTTCTAAATCCAAAGGGAGATAGAACCTAATAAGAATGAGGAAAAGGCATGACCAGAAGAATTGTGTGAAATAAGTGAATTTATCCAGTTGAGGCATTCTTGATTGATTGAGACAAAACGATTCCCTCAATACAGCTTAACTCCGTCAAGCCTGTACGAGTAGTGAAGAAGTATAGAGCACTTTGGTTGGTTGTTGACCAACGGAAAGCATGGGAGAAAAAAAGAGAGAACTCTTTCTTTTTTATTATGATTGGGCCCTGCGGTGGTAGAACCTCGTGAACCAGGCGTACTACTGAACTTGCTTTTCTTCTCTTATGATATTTCGAGTGCTGCTTTCATTTCAGATACATTCAAATCCATTATTCTTTGTAGCCTGAAGAAGAAATATAGATTTTTAGTAGAGGAAGGACGTAGCTGGCACAATGAGGGAAATGAAGGCACTAGCAGATGCAGTTTTTGGAATAGATCGCTTAGCTCTACTTCTCAGTCAATCCCCTTTGTTCATGGCTTTGAATTTATTGTAATGCTTATATTTTATGTAAAGATCTCGATGACCGCTTAATTCATCTTTCCTTTCCCGCTCCTGAATGAGAAGTGGTCTTTTTTATTCCTGCGGTCTTGGCCTGAGAAAAGTGATCTCTGAAACTGAAATTCGACTGAAAAGTTACCAATAGAATAGGCTTTAGAGTAGCTCTTTCCAAATAGGTCGAGTAGCCATTTATAGAAATTGAATTAATTAAAAGGAGAAAAATTGTTGGGATTCACACGCACAGCCTTATCCTATGAGTCCGCCTATGCCACGCGCCTGCCTTTGAGAGCCTTTCCGCTGGTTCCCTTCGTCGGCGTCATTGAACCTCGTTAGCATTTCGAAAAGAATTGGAGGCTCAAAACGAATGGTCAAAGGAATTGATGATTCGTGTTTTGTCTCCGATCTTCGCCTAGTCTTAGAACCTGCACTGTAGAGAGGGGAACAAGCACCTCTTTCTGCCGCTCTCCTCCCAGATGTAGGTATTCCTGGAAGTGAGAACACTGCTGCCCAACTTATAACCCGGTCACTCCCCGTCTTCATCCTAGACGCCACTGGTACTATTCATCTATACTATATATGGATGACTCCTGCTTTCTCCCCAATGGAATGATCTGGACCCTTGCGAAAGGACCTCAAAATCCGACGACCTTGACTGAAAAGCTCCCAATTAGGTCAGTAGCTGGCCGAGTCGCTGATAGACCAAATAAGCACAGTAGCTGTTTAGAGCCGAAGGAGTGAAAGCCACTTGACTGTAAGGAGAGGAGCTCTATTTGGGATTCTATAGCCTACGCACTTGCCTTTAGGGGATCGAAGTTGGATGAATCTCCAGTGGTTCCTTCCATCGGCGTCATCGAACCACGTTAGCAATCCAGAATAACTGGAAGCTCGAAACGAGCGGTCAAAGGAATTGATCCGTTTAGTTCTNTACTTGTTTGGAAATATCAGTGTCCAAAATATACCGAAACTCTGCCAAAATTTTGAAAAAAAAAAAGAAAAGAAAAAAAAGGTTTTGTCTTTAGAATTAGCTGGTTTTCATTTTTGTCAAATCTGCCCGAACTACGTCAGTTTGATTCTCACTGGATGCCCAAAAACAACAAAATTTTATTTTTGTCACAAATAAGCAGGGTGATGCCATTCTTGTTTAAAATAAGCCGAATGTCCCCAAAAGGGCGCCGGAAGGCTGTTTTTACAAGAGCAACCACCTTTGGTCATTTTTTTATTTTTCGACCGGTTAGCAGGCACAGCCTTAAAATCTTCTTCCCCGAAGTGCTGAAAGGTCGTATCTGCAAAATCGAGTTTTATTTTTTTTTAAGTAAAATTTTGAAAAAATGGTGTTATTCTTTTGGGTCAAAATGAGTTATTAAATCACCTTAATAAATGTGCAGGATGAGCACAAATGAAATTGAAGCCTTCACAGCCCTTAAAGAGATCCCCTTACAGCTCCACATGTGGTGGAATAATCTAGGAAAAGGCAGTAGAGAAACTGTGGTAAAGGTTCTGGGAGGCCTTGTGGGACTGTTAAACATCAAGCCAAGGTTGGACATAATTGAAGCTTTAGTACCTTTTTGGGACCCAACGCGCAATGTGTTCCGTTTCTCTGACTTTGAGCTCACACCCATGTTGGAGGAAGTTGCAGGTTATACGGGCCTTAATGGAAACCTTAGAAGTCGATATCCAGTGTCACCAAGACCGGTATCTCCCCACAAATTTCTGGATTTGCTGAGTATTAGTCGGGATATCCAGGATGGAAATTTATCTAAAGGTTATTGCACTCTCCAGTTCTTGTATCAATGCTATGGTAACCCCCGAGGTTTTGAAGAGCCGAACACTGGTCTGACCTATGCCAGGAATAAAGACAAATGGGAGGCAAGGCGGGGTTTGGCTTTTATAGTAGCATTCTTGGGTGTTATGGTCTGCCCGCGAAAAGATAGTAATATAGAGGTAGGTCTCGTAGGAATGATCGATGTTGCAATCAAGAAAGCCAACGACACTGTGGTTCCCCTGATCTTATCTGAAATCTACCGAGCCTTGACTATCTGTCGGGAAGGGGGAAAGTTCTTCCAAGGCTGCAATCTGTTACTACAATTATGGATGCAGGGATATCTCTGCTACCGGGTTGGGTATATGAATTACAGTATGACCGGTTTGAGTTGCATTGAAAAATTTGAAAGCCGAGTAGTGGGTATTGAATTCCCCGAGGGTACTGAAGCTTGGCTTGCACATTTGAGCTCCTTGACTGCCGATAAAATTGAGTGGGCATTCGGATGGCTTCCTATCACCGAAGCAGTATACATGTCAGCTGAGGTGTGTTATCTCCTCTTGATGGGAATCCGGAGCATCCAGCCGTATGCTCCCCACAGGGTTTTGCACCAATTAGGAAAATTTCAAACCGTCCCCCATGACGAAGATTTGAGTAAACATGTCATTGAATTGGGCCCAAAAGCTGTATCTCTAGAAGGGAGAATTCGCCA